AACTCCAACCGACAGAATTACCACCAGATAATAATAAAACAAATTAATTTATATTTGAGATAAATTTTTGGCTTCATCACTTGGTTTATCCTGAAATGCTGAAAAACACATCAAATACATTTTTTTTCATTACAGATGCCATCACTGCATCATAGCCAAAAAATGAGTGTCAAATATAAACATTATTCATCCAGCGTGTAATAATAAGGTAGGAATGCCGAACAAGTAAGGTTCAGATTACTTTATTAAAACTCTTTTCGTACCAGTACCAGTGTTCGTTGACATATATCAAAGGCTCATTCAGTCTTCGTTTACAAGCATTGTCCAAATGAAGTTTTTTTTTCGAAAATCGTTGGGGGGCTGCATTCCTGTCGTATGCATGAGGAGCAGTGCTGATATCATGTACAAATTCGGTCTGTTTTATTTTCACTGTTGGCGATATCGTGTTGGTCTTTACGTCATATTGGAATGTATCGGAATGCCTCTTACTTTGAATGAAAAATATAATTACTACAGCTGAGAACGCTAACAGGATTCCTTTTGTTCTGCGTGTTAGCTTCATTTTCCAATAGTTCAAGAAATATAATACCGCACTATACGTGAGGTTGCGATAAATTATTCTTATATTAGTTTAAAAGTTGTTGAATTATCTGGTATCGGTCTCTTCTGAATATCGAATTATATTGAGAAACTTTTATCTTCGTGTTAAAGATGACACGCTGGTCTGTAACTCTGTTGATAAACTTTTCTGATTAGGAAAACAAATGTTCAATCTAATTGTTTGCCACAAAGTGTCTCGGATATGAAAAAATAAAATTGCTTCTACAAATAATAAGCGGTAAATATAGTTTAGAATGAACATGGCTATGTATAGAGGATAGAAAATTTGCATCTGGCTTCAAGTTTCAACTCCGGATTGACTATTTTTACTCCAAATCCCTCAAAAGAACTCTGACTCTAGCCCCAGTATTGCATTTCCATGAAATTTCGCGTTTACAAACGTTTCTTTAGTTTTAATTTACATTTTTGACCTCGAGTTCCGTTTCTCAATTTGAACATACGGCCCTGGTCATACGCCAAACCTATTACACTAGTTCCAGGTAGCTAGTTGCTGAGGGTGAAGAAGTCATTATGTATTCCTATATTAATTTCACAAATCTCTTATGAAATAAATACTGTGAACCTCACATAACTGTATAGCAAACTTTGATCAAGTCACTTTTAAAGCCTTTAACTCATGACTGATCTAATGAAATATTTCATATCATATATCAGGGTCGTCCAACCCGTGGCCCGCGGGCCACATGTGACCCGCCGAAGGTTTCCGAGTGGCGCGCGCGGTATTACTCGAATCCCAATGTCTTTCACAAATCTGAACCATTGTTGAAACCTTCAATAAAAAAATTGTCGTTCAAACGCGCGAGAAGCACCACCTAGCTATCGAATGCTTCTTTTATGTCCATTTGTGGTCGTTATTGCTAGTGAGACATGTCTGAATTTATTTTTATCTTCTGTCATGTATTTCAATTTGTTTTCCTGTCTTTTTCCTGCGAAGCTAGAAGGGGCAGTTTCATGACCTCAATATTTGACAGCATATACTATAAGCTAGTTTTTCACTGATGAACCATGTAAAATCCCCCGTGAAACACTAATTTCTGACAGCCGCGTGAAAAATCTGCTCCGCATTGCTACATTGTCCATTGTACCTACTATTGACAAACTTGTCGGATAACCGCAGTGCCATATTTCCCATTGAAATATCTATGTGTGGTTAAAATTTTTGACTTTACTGTATTTTCGTATTTTCATTGTTCTTATAATTTAGGTACTTTGTTTGTTTTTTCATTGATCTGTAGTCGGTGTAGTGAAAACTAGAACATAACTACCATGTCAAGGGGCCCGCGCAATCATTCGTAAACTGGATGTGGCCCTTCGTCCAAAAAGGTTGGACAACCCTGCCCTACATGAATGATTGGGCCTATAATACGACTACAACATTCTTATGTGATCAACTAATAAGAGGTATCATGGTATGAACAAAAAGTTGTGTGCCCGCTCACTCAGCGGTGACTAATAAATTGGCCTGCGTTAGCAACGAAGGTTTGTTACCCCTACTCCGAGTACTGTAAACAAACATTGGTCGCTGATCTAGTGGTTGGGAGCAAGTTGGATAGCAATAACATTTTGTACTACACTATTATTTATATACTATTGACTTACTACCATTACAGTAACGACATTTATTTGTGGCATCGCATCTATTCTACCAATGGCATTGCACTTGATTGAGAAAATACAAGGATTTTGCCGCGGACACTTATTGTGAATTGAGGTAAAACAGCGTGCCTTATGAATTGCGTTAATACTGCATCCCACAGTAGCTTAAGAATAATTAGCGAACCAACCCTCTTCAGTGTGATTATCTAATTCCGGATTTATGATGATTAGGAACTGCACTATTTTGAAATATTGGACGATGCGGAGTAAACACGAATTAGAAAATTTATTTTTCATTGAAGTTGGCTTGAATTTCCTAATTAATAGTATCGTTAATTTTCGAATACGATGGCATGAACGGTTGGAACAAGAAAGTTTTGCTGGTTCCCATCACATCGGCACACTCAGGACATCGAGCCGAGTTAAAATACGCCAAACAAATTCCAATTACTGACGCCGGTTCAATACTATTGGAAACGAGGTGGACCTATGGATCGTTTTGCTATTATGTTGCTGATCATTTTGTTAGTATTCTCTTTGTTGCTAAAAAAAATCGCTTTTGTTATTAACTACTGGATCAATTGCTTTGAAAATGTTCAGTGATTAAAGATTGTTATTGCCGCTAGAGGGCTATTACTTTTATTTATTCCTGAATTTTTTACGAATCCTATTAGATTTGATATTTCGCTAATATATTTTTTATTCTTAAGAACACGGGTTTTAATCCGCCAAACATGGCGGCCTTCATTTGTTTTAGGTTTGTAAAATCTTGCTACGTGAAAGTCGAAAATTTTGCGATACCGATGATGCACTTTAGATTAGGGATAGGACGAGTCCGCATTACAGAGATTCGACGAATTCGAGTAATAGGTCAAATACTCGAATCAAATCCTCCGATTCCGTGACGTCACAGTGTAAAAGCCGAAAAACGTGTTTTTGACCATGCTACAGCATCGTGCACCCACAAACATTCATCTTAGCTCATATTTTTTGTCTAATGGTTTCGCAGATAGCTTTTCAATCATTTTAAAAATATAGATTTCCGTATTTTTGGCGGCCATAATACAAACGTAAACGTGAGTCAATGTACGCATTGGCTGTGAACTGGATTCCCAGCCCACCATCTTGTGCCGATTCTGGGAGGCTATTCAGAAATTCTTTTATGCCAATATGGAAAATAAAAAACTTTTTGAGTACAATGCTTTTCCATAATTCCAAATATTCCTAGCCGCAAATTCACTCTGTCACGCAAATGGTAGAGAAATGCCACTCGTCGTCAATACAATGTGGTACATCTGCTTGCAATTTAGTAGTTTATGTAAACGTTCTAAAACTCTCCGTGCTTTCCATTGCTCCCTTTTTAGGGAAAATATTGTACGTAATAAACTCGATTTAGAAGAGGTATTGATGAGATTCCTCATTGGGTTTATCCAGAGCATGTTTCATTTTTACGCGAATCAAAAACTCAAAAATATTGCGCTAACACACGTTTTATTGTCCACCATGTATACCAAAAAGAATAGATAGTTTGAAGGCGACTGGCGCAACATCATTATTATAAGCGATCAATAGTTTTCAAATTGCGTTATATTATCTGAATATCTGTCGTCGTTTTTATTAGGAGTGTTTAAAATACACACGAGGGATATTGTTACAGATCTAACCTTTAACTAGTTAAAGTATATGCAGTGAGATTTGTAGAGGCAAAAGTACAAATATAGGCGTCGTTTAGGAAAAACAAAATTGATTATAGACTCGGTAAAAAAGGCGTGAACTCGAAATCGAATCCGAGTCCGGATTCGAATCCCGGCCCATCCCTACTTTAGATAGGTATCTTGCAAAAAGCAAAGTATTGTAAATTATTTAATACTGTAGTTGTGATCAAATCGTTTAGAATTTTAATTCGCGTTGGCACAAGACGCATGAATCATCATTGCCAGGAAACCTGGTATAGCTACGGCAGTCCGGGTACCGGTACTAGTGAGTTACAATAGTCCACAGTTCCAGCTACGCCCAGAATATTATGTTTTTTGTCGGTAAAATATTATGTTAATTGTCGGTAAAATATTGGTAATCCCTTAGTGTGTGTACCAGGTTCGGGTTAGGCCATAATTTGAGGTAAAAATACTACGGGAGTCACTTAACTAGTCCCCGAACTGACAATAAAACTAAAATGAGGGAAAATCGGAATAAAATTAGGGCCTAACCCCACTGGTACACATACTACGTTCCGGTGTCCGCCATCTTGGTTCACATACTTCGGGAGTACCGGTTTCAGTTCCTTTACACAACTTCATGTAAAGTAGGCGAACAAAATTAGTTACATCCATATTGGTACGCACACTACTGGAGCGCCAAATATTTCGTCTAGCCTTCGTGTTCATATATTACAGCATCGCTCTCTTGTCTTAGCATAGTATTATTGGTAGGCCGGCCCTAAATGCGCGTGAAGGGATTTTGGTACGACATGGAACTTCATAAAAGGAAACAATCGTCCTAATGTTATTCCGGCCTTCATGCATATATTTCACGCACTGGTGACGATGAAACTCATTTACAGTGAAATATTAAGCGGGACACGTTATTTAATGCATATTTCTTCTGTGATTTTGAGACGTGCCAATTTGGTCTTCTATTACTCATGATAACCATGATGATAGTAAAACTATTCAGCGCATATGCATAATTCTGTAGAAGGGTCAATGGCATCCGTCACAGTTTATGATGCTGTGGGGAGCCGTACAAAATTGTGCGAGAAATGTGTAAATTTGAACTCTAACTACTCTATTTCGGAAAAATATTTATTCCTTCAAACAATCTGCATGTAAGCTATTTTTAAAATATTGAGAACAGTTACATATATGCTGGTGCTTTTCAGAGCTCCTACAACGTTTAGTTTTCAGTTTTTAAATTACGACAGTCTTTCAGTAATTTCAATCCTTGTGGCAATTAAACTTGACGTTCTGTTTCAATAACTTCTATGGATTAGAATACTCAAAGTCAGAGTAGATTAATAAAAATAAAGTGATTGTATTTCGAACAGGGATACTGTCGTCTGCGTAAAAAACAGCCTGACCACCAGATGACAAAAAATGCAAGTTCTACCCGCACGTTTTTACAATGAGCAAATGTGCAAAATTATGACTAGTATTGATTATAAATATATATTTCATTCAAATCCTCCAGCTTCTAGGGTTGTCAAGTTGAAAGTATATCCGAAATAATCGAAATCAGCTTCGTATAATTTGTACAACTTCTGAACAACTGTCGGTGGTAACATTGACATGTATTTTTTAATGTTTACCTTGGGATTATTATTAATCAAGCTTCCACCAATTGCCATGTTTCTCTTTCTGATTGTAACGTCTGTTAAATTGAGTCGTTTCATCAACCATGGCTCGTCTTGATCAACGCTTTCTGCTTTCAGGATATAGGTATAGTCATATTCACATAGTTCACATATTTTCGATATTGGATGAAAATGCATGTCGAAATATCGTCCGTTGCCGTGAATATTTGCGATATAAGTTGCAAGATCCTTAAATGACATCGCGTGATCCTTTACGATGTCCTTCCTATAATTAAAATGTTTATTTTCTTATTTAAAGCTGCTGAAAAAAAGTTCCTTGGAAAAATGCTTGATCTAATTAAAGCACTCGGTTAATATTCGGTGTGTATTTCCTATATGGTGATATAATAACTACTGATTACTGAATACAAATACCTGTTTCAAGGGAGATATAAACGGCCTTCAAACGTCCTCAGTAAAAATAACACAAACTGATATTTACACACTACAGCGAAGAAGACGATAACAACACTCGCTGTAGAATGAATAACATCGATATTCGCGCAAATGGGTTTTTCTCGCAAATGACTCCATAACTAAAAGAAAGTAAGTAAATCTACAAATAGGTTAGAATGATATGTTTATCCATGATGACTTACTTGTAATTTAACATAACTTTATAAGTCTTCAATAAAGTTGTCCAATAGTTTGATGTTTTAAGAAATTTTTGATTCCATGCAGAAATTAATCGTCCAAAAGGATGCCTAGTCTGAAAAATATATCGTAAAAATGATTTTTTGAAAAAGAAGGATAAAAAATGACATATTTAGTTTAAAAAGATTGTTTATATGTAATATCAAATATAGCTCATAACTGGAATAGATTGACAATTGTACACAATAAATAGTAATGCGGATTTGCGATTGTACCCGAGTCATCTTTATTCGGCATTCACACGTACAAGGAATACTTTTTCAAAATGCAGTCTTTCTGGTGGTTAATAGGAAACGATAGAAATCGTATGCAATATAAGCTAGACTTTCTGTAATACAAACAAGTTTGATCTTTTTTAAAAATCCAATTAAAACAAGTATTGATTGGATTGTCTATAACCCTATATGTGTGAAAGTTTGTTTAATTTGTGAGAAAGTCTGTCTTTGATCATTGCAGCGCAGCAGAAATATATCAATGATAAGATGCAGTAAGTCCCCTTATCACTAGAATAGCTCTATTAAATATTGGTAAAAAATATAAGTATAAGGAAGGATCAGTTGTTTCACAAAACGACAATAGTTCAAAAAAACAAAACAGCCTGGTGCAATGTATGTTATGTATTTACCAATTTATATTTATAGTTATCTACAAGGCAGTCGAAAACAACTGCGAAAATTTTGTCACATTTACCATAAATAAATTATTACCAATATAATTCTGAAGCTTGAATTCTTTGGAGATGGATTGAAAAAATTATCGTCTCCCTTCACGTGAGTAATTAGTTTGTTTCCTTGGGTCTCCGAAAGCTTACCAACGATCTTATAGTTTCCCAGTGCTGCGTCGCGACCATATGATTCTTTATATGGATCCAGGCCCTTCTGTTTTATATTTGTTGCCCAAATCATCCAATGCCATGTACTACTTCCAGCTTTGTGAGACGCACAAACTAGCATACGGCGCTCATAGTTCGCTATAAAAGCTTGATTTTTCTTCCATTTCAACCTGCAAGGTAAAACATTTCATGTACATAACTATGCCCACTACCTCGTTGAAATGAAATATATTGCACGAAAAACTGTCATACTTCAAAAACTTGACATACCTCAAAGGCTTATTCAGTCTTCGTTTACAAGCATTGTCCAAATGAAGTTTTCTTTTCGAAAATCGTTGAGGGGCTGCATTCCAGTCGTATGCATGGGTAGTAGTGCTGATATCATGTACAAATTTGGTCTGTTTTATTTTCACTGTTGGCGATATCTTGTTGGTCTTTACATCATATTGGAATGTAGTAGAATGCTTCTTACGTTGAAGGAGAATTAAAATTACTACAGCTGGGAACGCTAGCAAGATTCCCTTTGTTCTGCGTTTCAGATTCATTTTCTGAACTTTCAACAAATATAATACTGTACTATACGTGAGGTTGCAGAAAATTATTCATATATTATTATAAATGTTTCAAATTATCTGGTATCGGTCTCTTCTGAATATCGAATTATATTGAGAAACTTTTTGGTCTGTAATTCTGTTGATAAATTTTTTTGATCAGGAAAACAAATTTTCATCCTAATTGTTTGCCACATAGCGTGTCTCTGACATTGAAAAATAAAATTGCTCCTAAAAATAATAAGCGGTAAATATAGTTTGGGATGCACATGGCTATAGAGAGGAAGAAAAACTTCCAACTCCGCATTGACTATTTAAAAATCTCTTACTCCAGCACCAGTATTGCAACTCTTTGAAATTTTCGATTTCACAAAATCCTTTAGTTTAATTTAAATTTTTGACTTTGAATTCCAACTTTTAAATGATTAAACATTGACCTGGGCGTTTGATCGTGTTGGATTCAAAGTTTCAACCCCGTTTCTCAATTTGAACATATGTCTCATACGCCATACCTATTAAACCAGTTCCAGGCAGTTAGTTTCTTAGAGTGCATAGTCACTATATTTCCTTATATTCATTTAACAAATGTCTATGAAATACTGCAGCTCATACAACTTTACAACTTTGATAGGTCACCCAAAGGCCTACACTTCAACCAATGGCTAAGCTAGAAAAATATTTCTATCATCGAGTATATAATTGTAGTTCTTTGCTTCAGCCGGGCTTACCGAACATCAATTTCCCTCGTATCGCCTACGGCCAACTTGTGTGGCCACGATGAAGTTCTCACATACAAACATGCCTAATAAAGCAGTCTCGCAACTACGATTAATAAACTCCATCGCTTACAAAAATACCGCATATGATGTTTCTTAGTATGTAATATTTCTGCTTTTGCAAGTAACATAATGATTCAATGTACAGCTATTATACCACCGACAACAAAACAAAATGGAATCAGACACCTATAGATTGGACAAGGTCATTTTCATGCACTTATACGTTAGAAGGTACTATGTTTTGAGAGAATAACGAATTCAAAGGTTTCACATTTATTAATAAGATATGTTTCACATTTATAGTATATATCAGGTGTCTTCTTTTAGACCGATAACTTTCGTTCTTGTTTATGTGTGAGATAATATCAACGAAGACGTTGCTTCATCAACGCAAATGCGTTACGCGCTAAATATACGATATATCTCCGGGAGCGTCGAAACGATAGATGTAACAGCTTTCGTTAAATTGGCCGGAGGGTATATATGTCAAACGACTCTGTGATGTTGCGTGCGAAGTGCAAAAGTTGCTCCTCGGCCGATATTCAATTTACGTATATATATACATAACCAGTGATAGAAGTATTGTAAGTGAGATAGTTTTAGAATTGCAGGTTACAAAAGTTTGCTTAGTCTCTCAGTTTATACTTGATGCATGTTTGTATTCCACTTCATCAGAATTTGAGCAAAATAATAGAACACGATCGGTGTGCTGCCTGGTCGTGTTCTATTACGGGCACTAGGTTAACAATCTGGGCTACTAGTTGAACACAGTGTTTGTAGTTATCTTAAATTGACCATGTCTGATATTTTAACGTTGTGTATTTTTAGATATTTTCCAGATTTTGTATACAACATGCAGTCGTTAAATATTTTAAGGGCCTTTTTCCTCGTTGCTCTCGGCATAGGAACTTTTACATTTTATGCGATCAAACGATATACAGTATTCCAACTTCGTTCTTATCCTATCGCCACCATAGAAGAAGACAACTTAGCGCCAGAGCGTTTTGATAAAAGACTCAAATTACTGCATTCAAGATGCCCGAATGATTATACGAAGGCAAGAGAAAGGTAAGAAACGCAATCATCGTATGCCATCTAATCAAAGGCGTCTTTCTGAGTAAGCCACAGTTCGCCAGCATGACGTCACGTAACTGCGTCATCCAAATATATTTGTATCCGGTTACAATAAAAAATAAAACCACGGGAAGTTGTTCACTCATGATAGCATAACAAATTCTTCAGAAGGAAGTTTTTATGTTTTACTTTTCATGCTCTTTTCCACTATGAAAAATCTGATATTTTGGATTCGACTCTTGAGCAATTAGAAATTAGACTCCGAATCGAATAAATTTGAAAATACAACTTTCGCCCGAGTTTAAAAAACACATAAACTCTGGTTCCACCGATTAGGTGCTAAAGTTTGAAAACGTTTGCTACAATAATTTAGTTCTGGCAAAATTATTTAGAATTTAGATGGACCAATAATGCATATCAAAACGATACCTCCAATTTCAGTTTATCCCAAGTATAAATTTATACTTCTTTGTTCAAGTTTATAAATCAATCGAAGGTCATCAGGCGAACTGTTGAATAATTATTAAATAATTTAATAACTGTTACTCTAATTTTAGCCCACACTCTATAATCTATGATTTGGGGGAAATTCGACAAATTGAAACATAATTACATAATTTAATTTTAGGTCCAACTGGGTGCCAATACCTCACTTTCTCGTAGACCCTCCAAAAAAATTACTAGTATGCGTAGTTCCAAAGTCTGGAAGTTCTACGTGGCACGGTATTGTTTGGGCTTTACGTCGAAAACGAGCTGGACTCGATGAAGATCAGAAGTTCTATAGATGGAATGATACAGTTGAAAATCATGCTATGGCTCGTAAGCTTCCTCCAAAAGTTGGACAAATGCTAGGCGTCTACCATGATGGAGATGACGACCTATTTCAAAGTCCGAGGCTGGGACAAAGTCATCGACTTGTATTGGTGAGTTTGTTAAATATTATAACTTACGACCTGATTACAGCGTTTTATTCTTTACAATTTACATCTAGCATCTGGAAAGAATTTCTAGTATTTATTTTCATTTTGTGAGTTGATGATGTGACTGGGAATGTTTTACATCCTATAAGTAGTCCGGATTCGATTACAGACTCGATTCTTTGCGGAATCGACTAGAATCGATTCCGATGCATTGGAATCGATTCTCGAGGTTAAAACTTGGATTGCAAACAATGTGTAACGTTTTGCGTCAATTCCTTCACATATATGTAAAAACTGCTTTACTGCTATGTTGAGTTGCTACGACGCCGCAAACTTCACTATATATTGTTTTTCGCTAGAAGGGTTCTGTCTGTGAGTTCTGAGAAATTCCTTATTTTGTGCAATTTTGTTTCCTGTGACAGATTGGATACCCTTAATACTTAGTTTTGGCCGTCATGTCCGTCCTTATATCTGAACATAGCTTTCTTGTTTAATTTCTTATGGTACTGCTTAGGTGGGTATGTTTTCTCGATAAGATATGTCGAGGAATAGAGATTCGGAATCGAGAATCGGAATCGAAAATTTAAGAATCGGTTAAGAATCGAATACTAACTAGTAAGTAGTCATAAGTAGAATCCTTACCTATAAGTGAAATCGAATATATTTGTTTCCAATTTCAGACAAAAATTCTGAATCCGAATTTCACTCGGGATCAAGATGACCAGAAATTGCGATTTTGGTTCCGACTACCGGCCAATCAAATATGAATATATACAAAATTTTAACATTGCCAGGCTGAATTAGGGAGCTCTAGTCCGACCACAAAATTGGGTTATTTGAAATGTTTAATTATTACTCCTGAACAGTTGAAATTAAAATTAAATTCGGCTCCGACTTCAGCAACAACTTCAAATAGGTTTTAGATTTGATATATATGATATCACCAATTATGATCAGCTCTTCATTGACATTTTTTTATCGGCTATAAAAATTTGTAACAAATATGAAATTATAATTGAATACCGACTTCGAAGCTTTTTATAACATTCTTCACACATTTACAGGCGCGCCATCCTTTCGCTCGCTTGATTTCAGGATGGAAAGACAAATTCAGCTATAATACAGCATACGGAGATAGGATGTTTAAACATTTTCCAAAACTCAAAGATTACAAGTGAGAAAACTTCTAACTTTGTTTTAGTTGCTGACGATCCTCGTTTCATCCTTGGTTACACCTTACAAATTTAGTTGCTTAAGGAATTTTTAAGAACGGAAAAATAATAAAAAGGAACAATGCTCGAATATTTGGACATGAAGGCTAAATAACTACCGCAATTTCAGTAAAATTGAGCTAGATGTTAACAGAATTGCAACAGAAGTCACATGGTGGTGTGTGCGACAGATATTATAAATGAGTAATAGGCTTCGAGCAACATCTTCCATCTTCGAGTATTGGCAATTCAAACCCGATGGGTCCATTGGTGGCACCGAATATCGATTTTTCACAACAACAACAGTACGCTTCGTGTCCAGTATATAAACTTCGATGTTTAATTTGACGTCTATCGATACAAAACATTCATCAAATTTAAAATCACATTTTATTCCACAACGTTCAATTTACCCTCGTACTTTTTCTTAGTGTTTCAGTTCCACCGGGAAACTTCACTTTAGCGTTTGAGGATTTAGCTCGTTATATAGCAGATCACGGTCGGGATGAGCGAAAATTGGACTATCATTTCATGCCGGCAACATCACTATGCAAGCCTTGCAACTATGCATATACTTATATACTAAAAGCAGAAAGCGTTGATAAAGATCAGCAATGGCTGATGAATCGGATAAATATGACTGATCTGAAAGTCGTACGTCGAGGAGTAAATAAAAAAGGAAGTTTGCTTCAGATAAATCCAAGTGACTCTATCAAAGAATATATGTCGAAACTGGATCTCGAAGTCGTCAAAAAACTATACACTGTGTATGTAAAAGATTTTGTCTATTTTGGATATACGTTCAGCTTAACTACTATGAAATCAGGAGGGTTTGAATAAACTGAAGCTGAATTTTTGAGCATACTTGAAATTATATAGAATTGCTGTTGCGAATTCGCTAAAATCTAGCTAGCAACTGAATTTAAAAAAGTTTGGATGGAAATTTCAAAAGAGCCCGATTCGTGCTGAGTGCTATATATATCTGGATATATCCATGCAAAAGAAATGTCAGTGATTTGAATGCTGGAGCTAGAATCAAGCTTACATGACATGTTTAATCTCTATATTTATGTTTGAACAAAAAATTTTTAACCGCGATCAAAAATACCCTCAAGACCCTAATTAACCATTATAATTTTCGGACTGACTGAGAATTAAAACCACGACCCCATTAAATTTGCCAATGATATCAAACAAACAGTCGACCGCAACCTATCAAGCAAAATTTTAGTAAACATTTTTTTTTATTTTGTGATTTTATTAAACAATCTCAAAGATTTAAAATAAAATGCGTTGCAGTTTGCTACAGAATAATGATGAGAAGCTAAAAGTGTGGAAAGAAAGAAATACACATATAGGCAAATTATAGGATTTAGAATAGGTAACACCCTACTTTTGAATTTGGTTGTAATGATATTGATATGTACTGTAAAAAAGGTTGTTGTATTCCAAAAGTGAGATATTTAAGATAATAAAACATCAAAGCATCATCATTCAGATATTATAAAGTATCCAATATAATTTGTATTGATTACGATACTGTTTCAACAAACATTGATTTTTATTAATAAAAGGCAACGTCGTAAAGCAAACGATTCTTGATATTTCTGTATGGAACCAAAGTTCAACGATTGTGCCACCCATCACGTTCATATCGGAACGTGAGTGTGGCAACGCTCAATTGGTAAAACACGCTACCAAGTCAAAATTCATTTGTGCGTGCCACTTGTACGTATTGAACACACACATTATATTGAATGAAAATTACCTATCACTATTATTGCTATCACTGTTATCTATCACGTTTCACTACATGAGTAGCGTAATTCCAATAGAATAAAAAGTGTGTCGTGGGATTGGTTAAAAGATAAGTTGATAAATCATCTAGTAATGAGGCACGCAAGTTACCTATTTAAATGATTCCAATCCTCCCTGTCACAAATTGAAAAGTGCTTTAGATAAAAAGGTCTAAAAACCAATCAATATAAAAGTGCAGTCTCTATAAAATGCGGACATAAATAAAATTATTTAAGGCCTTGTCTCAAATTTAATCTCTTTGTAATGCTAAATAAACTGTTACGGCGAAGTGAATGCCGCGATCAAACTCCTCCTCGCGTTTACTTACCGACCATCATCCGATTTTTAACCATTCTTTAAAACAAAATCGGCCTACGATTGTTGTTCTTCCTCGTCGCTTCTTTCATGCACGTCATCATAGTTTTCCATATTGTTCAAAATCACGGACATAAAAGCATTCGGTCCGAGCATACGGTCATCGCGTTTTGAGCTTCTAGACGTAGTGGATTCTCGCCTATCATCTGGAGCTTTAACAGGTGTGGACGGACCGCTACTTGTTTCGCCAGGAAGACTTTTTCTATTGTTTGAGCTAGATTCAGTATCCGTGCTTTTATTTGGGTTGAGCGGGTCAGCTGATCCTTCCAATGATTCGGGTTTTGAATCCGAATTTTTCTTCCCTGACTCGATATCCGAAAATCTGTCGTTGCTTCCTTTAGAATCCTTCGTTGAACTTACAGATTGCTTCGATCCTGATTTTTTGGTGGATATTCGACTTCCAAGTGTTGCGGTCGCATTTTTTAAAGCTAAAGATATTACAATTAAACATAAATATCAAGGTAACAAAATTAGGTACTCCCGTAGTATGTGAACCAAGATGACGGACACCGAAACGTAGTATGTGTACCAGATTAGGGTTAGGCCATAATTTCAGGTACAAATACTACGGGAGTAACTTGGCTAGTCCCCTAACTCGCAATAGAACTAAAATAAGGAAAATTGGAATCAAATTATGGCATAACCCTAACCTGGTACACATACTACGTTCCGGTGTCCGCCATCTTGGTTCACATACTACGGGAGTACCCAAAATTATAATTACCTAACGTAAAATAAGAATTCATTTAATGTGCATATTACGGATAATTTTCATATGATGTTGGCATGCTAAAATAATGCTGTTTCTTGGTCAGTATAGAGAGGAGAACGGGGCTCTGGCGACCTGGATGGCATTTGCGTTAAGTTCGATATTTAAGTTTGAAATCAAAATCTCAATTACAATTTATAAGTGATCGCGTCTATGGAACACGCAGAGAATGCCAAAGCTGCCCTGCGAAGGTACTAAGCGTTGGTAAAGCGCTTTCCAACATACCGAGTAGTACGTGTACCAGTAACGTTCAAGCATATGGGACATTTAATTGGTTAACTATTCCATGTTCCTATATAAGTCTCTTGATGAATTTAATCATATCCTACCCTGACAGACCCTCCAGCAAAGTCCAAATGTTTCAAAAATTACCCTTGTCGCACATGGATTAAGATATTACGCCACATTGGATTCTGATCTAATTCACCACAAATGGGTAAAATTTCATTCTTAATAATTTATAATATGAATCAAAACAAATTAAATTCAAAAATAAGATATGATCCTTCCGTAATTTAATCTCCTACTAAGTTGACACAGAATAGAGACATAGCATGCATTATTTATAATAGACTGATCCAGTGTTTGTATTTGTCCATAAAGAATGAACTCCTTTTAATACTGATTCCAACCTCTCTAAAGTCGCAATGTACAGCGATCGATTACAAGAAAGAGTTGGGTCATTCGCCTGCATAGTATGGACTGCTGCACTTACTTTTCATTGTAATTTGTTGGTTGGCAACTTTCTTTTTTAGCGTTGTAGCTTGTTTTGACAACTGGGTGGCAATAAGATTCACAATTGTGGCAAACCATGCCAAGCCTGCTACAACCCATATTAGTACAACGATGTTTCCCAACATACCAGCCGTAGAATGTGGATCTGAAAAAATAAACAGATATTTCAAACCTATACTTAAAAACTTTAATTGCATTAGCACATGTTGAATATTTTTCATCTAAAAAAAATCCATGCAAGTAATTGCTAACACCGTGGAGATTCGTTGAGATTGAGAGTTAGATAAGAATGACCGCCGGAGAGTTTTCACTTTCTCACAAATAAGTAAATATTTTTTCACATAATAGAGGCTAAATGACATTCATAACGGAAATAGATTTCTATCGATTTCCGTATACGCTTTGAAAATTAAAGTTTACGATATTAGTCAAAGAACCAAGCACGGGGGATAGATGATGGGGGTGATTTCACCACCGGTCCATACTAGTATAAAACAAAATGGTGATTCAGTTTGCCAATGGCGTAGGTTTTATTCAGCTGGACGGTGTGAGGAACTCTATTAATTATTCAAAAGTCGCTAATTGTCAGAAAAAGTAAATTTAATATATTTATCTGAGTATATAACGTTTAACTATAAATTAAGCGCAAATTATTTACCGAAAATGTAAGAGCAACAAACATCAAAGAAATACACCAGTCAGCGTATTGAATCTATAGGATACATATGATCCCACATGACAGTACCCAATTGCTTATAAGCTCATTATTGGCCGACATAGGAATAAATAACCATGCGTTTACGTTTCATACATAACAAACTCCTAGTCTGGTAAAAACAATATTTCATTTAAAGTCCATTCCGACTGATGATAACTGGCACCAAAAGCGTTCTTGAATATTAGTCAGGAGCGTTTTGCGCTGATGAAATGAAATATTATGTAGCATTATTATCGGAACTTTTGATTTAATCAAAAATACCCAAAACGGATCTTTGTATCTTCGACTTTTTTAGTTTTCAATTTATACTCTAGCAAGTGCAATCGACTAATATCATAAAGTCTCAAAAAGTTGTAGCTATCATAGTAATAACGTTCCCCTAATAAATAATGATTAATAAAAAAATCCCTTAATAGCACGTGATTTACAGTTTACTTTTACCACTTGTACATGTACGTATTCCACATTGAACAAATATAGCACTCAGAGATCCCATTGCCTTATTTTCCTTACTACCCTTACCCTTTTCTTAATTACGAATTGTATTTTTCAAATCGCTTTTAATATGAGTTAATATTCAGATACTACACCCAATAATTTTTCTATTGGTTTGTCTAAAAAGTTCAAATAATTATATAGGATTCGGACACATTAAAATAATTGTTAGAACTAAATTTCTTTTTCAGATATATAATCGCTTCCAGACGAAAACCACTTATTATTGTATCAAAAACAAAATTTTGTATTATATGTTTATACATTATTTATTAGTCTACAACGTGTCATTTTTCCGGATAATAGCGTTGTTTGTCATCTCCTAGACGGGATAAAATAACGCTCAGTAAGGATTACAAAACTTGATTATCTAGTTTCAACCACTCCCATAGTTACGTAAAAGTCGGTGGTACTAACGTAGGGAATAGAATTACAATAACAGTAGTTTGTTGCCTGGCTTGGAACTCACCACATCACCCACAGAGAAATTAAAATTAAATAAAACCCAGTAAAGTTGTTCGCATATATTGGAACATTGCAACACCTTCAACTGGTGAAATATTCACTTTACTCAAAAAGAAGAGCAATTATTTCTTTGTGTCTTCCGCAAGGGTTTGGTAATAACTAATAAGCAATATGCTGTGACCACTGTTTTAGACAACAACTCTAAAATTAACTATATAATTTGAGAGAACGCTTTTTGTATATATCAAATAAAAAATAGTTGATTGTACATTAGAAATATATCGTGACAATGTGGTAAGAGCCGGGCGAATTTACAATATATTTGGACGATGTTGTCATCGGTATAGTCATCGTGGTGTTATTGGTCGCACGAGAACTTCTATGCATAATTCCCTCCGGAAATTCTACAAGTCCTATGGGAATGAGTAAATAGCGATGATGTATGAAATTGTTTAATTGATAGCACACATATGTATCCAAACAACTTGGTAAACCTCATAAAAAACTTTCAAAATTTCGGTTGAATTGATGGTAAAGTTAGTTATTCATCGTATGTAAGACTTTTTAATATTTACTATCACGTGTTTCATACATTACTATCGTCGTCACTGTTAATTTCACCAATGAATTTAGAACATGAACTTGAATTTTAAAATATGCCACATTTCCATGAGCTTGTCACGGATTTGCGACACGGTGGTGAGTGACACCACAAAACAGTTGCCGATTAACATCGGGTGTCGACACCGGTAGTAACAAAATTAATTTCGCTTATTTTGTATCGGCGATTTATCGTATATTTCATTAGATCTCTCAATAAAAGTTTATTGTGGTTTTTGACATTGCGATTCCGACTTAAGGAACTAACACAGACAATGAACATACTCCAAAGGTATAAAACTGCCAAACAAATATCCGCAACGACAGACTAGCAAGTACTGCAATCGTTATTTGCAGTACTTACGGGGCGTCGAATACTTAAGTATTCCCTTGTGGCTTGATCTTTTTCGGTGCTTAATCAGACTTAATTATTTATGACAAGTTAACTCACTTAAACGCGTAATGTATTAATTTATCGGATTATTAACCCCAAATCTAGTAATCCAATCCAACTAAATAGAAAATTTCATAGAGATTACCGTTTCTTTTGCTTAGGCACTAATCCAGAAATATGAAACGTTGATTATGGACGCCCACTTTGCAAATGTGACTCGGCCGTTTCTGTTCTCGTTCGGACCGGGCTGGATTCTTAGTTAAAATGTGAGGTCCGACTTATGCGCAAGTAGGCGAACGTTTACAATGAAACAGCAATAAGTATAAAGTAGCCAATTTTTTGAGGGGGCGTGAAGCTGATTATTATTCACGTCCCATCCACGTATTTTCAACGTGCTTTTTTAATGAAACATACTTCCGCCTTACTATCTGTTATATGTGTAGCGTATTGTTAAGTAGGTACTTTTGAGGTGAGTGCGAAACTTTACAAATTCTAAAAAGAGGGCGCGGCTTTAAAAAGTTTGAGAACCGCTATAGAAGAATAGTGAAGATCATACCCGGTACATAATCTCCAAATCCGATTGTTGTCAATGTTACAAATACGCAATATAAACATTCGATAAATGTCCATCCCTCTTCATTACTAACATATGTTAACAATATTGCCGGCATTGCGATGTAGAGAAATAATCCGAATATAAACGTGAATGCAATGCTGGCTATTTTCACGTATCTGTTGCTTTTACCCCTTCTTTTAAAAATAATGGCGGCCGCCTGAAATGGAAATAAAATGGTATGAAATTAATATGTTAATTTTTTTTTATCAAAAATTCATTTGAATATTTAATTATCACAAGGAGAAATAGAAGAATGTATTCCGGGAGAAAAAAGGCGTAATGACGGCTTGAATATATTTCAAACTTGAAGAGAACTATAAATATACCACACTTCCATGCTCATATATAGATACAAATGATTATTGATGAAAAAGTTGAAAGTTTATTTGCACAGTGGTTATGTGAACCCCAGTCCATAAAAGATTACAAAATTATTCTATTTCACAAACTATGTATTTTCTCTTCAAAATGTCAGCCAGTTTACCTATAAGAATTGATCAATCACTAAGCCTATTTTGTAATTTGATTTTGTATTCAGGCCACGGTACTATTCAATCACTCGTATCAAACACTCATGTCCAACAATGTATTAGTTGTATTATTTTTTAATTGTAAGATTATGACAACACGTCCAGACACACGAATAATTGGCACAAACTTCAATCGGAGCAAAAAGTATTAGTAAAATGCTTAGAATGTTTTATTATGCATAAATCATCAATAATTTTTGTGGATTTTTCTGGTTGAAACAAAAAAATTCTCTACTCCTACTCGATAAATTTTTTCAGAAATTCGCATTACCACAACGGCAACATCAGGGCGGCATTATATGCACGCACGTTCTGTGTAGTTTGGAGTAACTCCAAATTTGAAACTACTCGATTGATTAAGCAATGCGTAAGATATCACGTAAACGCAGTTCAAAGATTGTACTGAAATTAGTCTACGTTTAATTTTCGTTGCCTCTTCTACCACCACGTTAATTCAAATACACGGTTTGAAAACACGTTTCATCGTCAATGATTGCTCAGTTTTATAGGCAAAATTCAATCACTCTCCAAGCGTCGGGTTTAATTTTTTTTGCATTATCCAAAGTCGTAAGTAAAAGTCGAAATTTCAGATTTTCGACGGTCGAAAACTTTTACTAAAAATGAAGGTTGTCAGAACCAAATTGTTGTGTTAAAAATGCTATAAACTTTTTAAAATTACGAGCTAAAGTTATTTTCTGTCAAACTGGAGAGGTTATTTTTTTAAAGAAACTTTTCCTAACAATATCGTGATACAAAATATGAGAAATATAAATTACCAATATACTCACTTTTTTAATGAAATATGCCAAAATAGAGCCCAATTTTGCAGCTAACAATCCGGTGAATGGAATACTCAGTAATGCGAATAAAATCGTAAATGCCTGACCACCCCCAGTCACTGGAGTAACAGTACCATAACCTGAAACGAAATGAAGCCAATTTGTAAACACACAAAGCAAGAGTTACAACTTCTAATACAAATCTCTTTACTTTCCATCAAACCTATGTGAAATTACTTCTACTGTAGGCATTTATAGTTGTATAAGTTGTATAAGACATTAAATTGATTAATGGAATGAAGCCGGCCATTAAATCAAAAAACAAAACCTCATTGTACAAATTGTATGTTTACCAAACTTTGGCCTTAATCGCTTAGTGAACTCTTCCCATACATTTAAAACTTACATTATACAAGGTAGGTTATTACTATAATTGGATAGCATAGTCCATGAAAAAAGATAGTATTCATGTTGCAATAATTTTGTTAAATCTTGATGTCAAGAAATTTGTCTGCAATTTACAATTTTATGTAAATGTGCAGCCACACAAAACATTTTCAGTCATCTCCAATATATTTTTATGTATATATTCGTTTCGGATTTGGCAATTTATAACATTAGAATTGTGATCGATTTTAGTAAAAACGGGATGTCTCTAGCAATCATCAATATTTATCCAGTGAGATTGGATTAAGAAATGCGGTTTATCATAATAAAATTTTGATCTTATACAGTGAATCTTACCGATTGTACTGGCTATAGTAAAACTAAAAAGGAAGCCAGATCCAATGGTCCATTTATCGGTATAAATACTTTCATTCCCAATAATAGATGAAACATCATCTGACAACGCTTTTTCAGTTTTCTGCAAAAATAATAATCATGTAAGATTTTTGGCGCATAGAACCCACATTATAGACATACAGTAAATTGTCATTGGCCAATATCGAAAAAGTGTCTATTTCTGAAGGACCAAGAAAAAAATTCAGAGACTACATGAAGTAATGACGTAATGATTACGTCATCTATTCACCACAACTACCATACCTCAGGGTGACACAAATTGAATTGAATACGCAACATTATAGTTTTTCATTTTAACTTGGTAATTTTTTGAAATTTCCTTTCGGTGTTTTTGTTATAAGAACAGGACATAGGCATGGGTGCTACTTCCCAAAATAGAACGCGCATCGATCTGTAAGGGTAATATACCGCGACCTAAAAGTACACGTGCTCGATAATTTAGATCGAGATTGGACAATGTACTCGACTACAGTACAAACATAGATACTAAGTTTTGGAATATACACTTAATCGGCATCGAAAATTATACTTGCACGCACGCATAACAACTATTGAATAATAAAAGTGACATTGTTGAGTTCGGAACATGCCTGACACGGCATTACTTTGCTGGCATAAACGTTAAATATTGAATGAGACAACGTATTTGGTAAAATTGATATGATTGTACTAAACAAAAAAGAGAATGGTATATTAGTATGAACAATAAACATTATTAACCCTTATTATAATTATTATTTTTTTTAATATTGATGGATGATCTCCAGCAAAGATATATCGTCCGCCATACGTTTTGAAGATCCCTTACTACTGTCAAGTCGCACGCACCCGATAGTAAAATTTCACACACTAATAGCGTTGGCTGCATGCAATTTGAACAGAATTTATACTCGCGGCAATTCAAAGTCGTAATACCTTGTCCCATCGCAAAATACTGTCTTTTAAACATAAACGCAAGAATCGCGACACATAAATATGGGTGACTTCCAACCAATATTGAAACGATGTATATGGTTGTAAATTCGGCGCTCCAGAAGTGTGTGTACCAATAAGGAGGTAACTAATTTTGTTCGCCTATTTTACATCAAGTTGTGTAAAGTGACTGAAGCCTATGGGCAGATATATTCACTTGGCTAACACGGACAGTCCCCGAACCCGTAATAGCACGAAAATAAGGAAAATCGGAATAAAATTATGCCCTAACCATAACATGGTACATACACTACGGGAGTATCGTAAATTCGAATTAAACCTAAATCATATTTAGAGTTCAGTAACAGTCACTTACCGACAAAAACGCTTCAAGAGCCTCCATCGTTAAATTATTTCGATGCTGTTTCACAAAATTAATTTTCGTTTCACGAAACCAATGAGGGGATCCAGCCTCCGATTTTCGTTCGATTGCTCTGAATATGACTGATCCAATAAGATTGACGCAAATATAAATACCGAATAATACAACTAATAAAACATAGCTTTTCCAAGTCGGTGGTCGACTTTTTTCACTTTGCGATCCTGAACTGGACGACATAGCTGATGGACGCCTCTCGGACAATGGTTCGTCGTTATCGTCGTCTTCTGCTTTAGTAACTTCGATAGCCAGTCGGGAATTAGCGTCGCCATTTTGGGGGTTTGGTGTATTTTTATCTTCTTCTTTTGACATATTTATAAACTAATACACTGTTAAAAATCAGTATTAAAATTCTGCGTATTTCAGCGTTATTATCCTCAATTTATATTCATTTAAAAAATATAAAAATCATGTTTACTAAGCTCGGTCAAATGTAAAGATCGACTATTTATAGTTAATATAAAACAATTATCATGAAATATATTCTTGAGACAATATTAAATTCTAACTACGGTAAAATATTGAAAACATTTTTCATTACGGTGTATTATATAAATGAATATAAATATAATTTTGTTAATTTTATCCATCAATTCTCTCACTACCAAATGCCTTTCGAATGCGCGCTGACCTATCAATGTTGGCAAAATTAGGATTGGATGAAAAGTGAAAAGTGTTATGTAGGACAATTACTTCACAATTTGTTAAAGGGAGCCATTTAGCATATGATGAGAAGCAAGTGATGAAATTTGCACTCGAATGGTAAAATAGGACTCATTCGATGCCTCAAATGAACGGCTTGATGATCATGTACGTCGCATTCACTGATTTCTCAAAGTGTCAATTGAAAGTGATAATTTCAGAATATGAGATCGATTAACGATATGGAATATTTGGCGCTCCAGAAGTATGTGCACCAATATGGAGGTTACAAAATTTTGTTCGCCAACTTTACATCAAGTTGTGTAAAGGGACTAATACCTATGGGCAGGGGGTATATTCGCTTGGCTAACACAGACAGTCCCCGAACTCGTAATAGAACTAAAATAAGGAAAATCGGAATAAAATTATGGCCTAACCCTAACCTGGAACACACACTATGAGAGTACCGAATATTTTTAACAGATGATTGAAGAAAAAACACGTCCCAAGTTTAATTATGTATGTCAATCTGTATTCCCACCAAATCATTCAAGTCTCGGTAAATTGGTAGGACTATGTTGTAGTGGAAACGTTTCCTATACGCATAAGTAAGTGTAAATTTGATCAAAATCTATTCAAGGCAATGTGCCCGAAGGTACAAGGAAAATCAAAAATAACTGAAACATATTAACAAGAATATTGAATATTCTGAAATATGCCGGCAACTTATGCACGTCGACTAACTAATCCTATTCAAGTTTCTTTGCAAACTGGCTGCCAGACATTTTCAATGAAAACAAGAGAATGAATATACATCAACAGTACGTTGCATTAGGCGTCAATAACACTATGGCGATGAAACATCGAAGCGAAATTGAATAAACTTAGTTCATACGTCAATAGAATAATATTTCCGCAAATATGATCCGCTTGGGAATTTTAAGTTCGGTCCTCATGTCTTACCAAGCATGAATTACAAAAATATATACCTAAACCAATAAAAAATGTATCAAGTGAGACTAAAACAAGGTATTAATTTACAAATCGAGAAAGTACAGGATATGTGAGAATACGTTGCAATTTTATGCTTATAAAATAGGCTTACCATACGTCCCGGTTTAGCCGTGACAGTCCCGATTTTATCAAGTTTTCCCGCCGACCCGGCCGGTAGACCTAAATGTCCCAGTTTTGCAGTATTACAGTCATAAACATTTTTTATGTGATATTAATATGAAATGTTTTGTTTTTACCGTATGCAGCCTATTTACCACTGATTTGCAACTCACTTCACTATTTCAAAAAAAGAGAGAAATTGTTTTGTCATAGTTATGATATGAAGTAAAAACAACGCGTTAATGCCGAAAACAAAGTGCAAGTTTTCTAATGAGTTAAACGCAGGGTGGTCCAAGGTTACGAGGTTGGCGGGCCGCAAAAACTTTTGAAAATGTCTCGCGGGCCGCAGTCGGAGAAAACCCAAAAGTGATCAAAACATCGCGAATTTACTCACTTTAATAAATATATTTTAGAATGAGATTTTACCGCTCTAATCAGTTTTTTGAGGGGAATATATAAAGACTTTAGTTATTAAATTGCTTGCCGAGAAATACCGTGGTATGTTCGGCATCTTTTCTCATGTTTGGTTTTGTAATGTTTTAAAATTATATTCTTTCATGACAGATATTACTTGAAAATACACCAGACACTGTGGTTTAACGTTGTTGTGGGTAAGGAAATACGTTTTCTCCCAGTTTACCTCGGTCATATATTTTATTACACCCCTTGTATTATGAATTGTTATATTATATATTGCTATTGTCGAAGAAAAACCAAGCCCGTCTAAGTTGTGACTCCGAACCCAGCTAAAAAAAAAACTGGACCGCGCGGCGCTAAGTCAGCTCCACGGTTTGTCACTGCTGTCAAAATAGCCAACGATTTAAAATAGAGGAGTGTTTATACTAAAATAAAGGCACAAACGTCAAATGAGAAGTTACTTGAGGCGAGCTTAAGGTTTGAAGTTTAGATAAAAAGCGCAACTCATCTCAACGGCTTGGTCCTGTCTGCACAAGACAATTCATTTTCTTGGTACCGATCACAGGACATTACTCCCATATAAGACACCGTCTCGACGTTTATAAATACAGCATTCCATGGTTTTAACAAACATTAATCCCGACATCGGCGTTACGAAAAGGACTATTCCCAGTTGAATTGGTTAAAAAATAACTCAAACATTTACAGCCAATAAATACAAATATCTGCCAATGGATTAGTGTATTTCAAAATTGTTCCGCGGGCCGCACTGAATGTGTCACTGAATGTGGCCGCAGTTTGTACCACCCTGAGTTAAAGAAATATTTCCTTTTCTTGAAACAAAGACCAATAGAGGATATTTCAATAGAATTTATATCTCATTTCGATGCCCGTAATCTACCCACAATGGTATGCCAATATTCAACTATTACTAAGCATCGTAATCGAGCCAAGGTTGGCTTGTCCAATCCGCACTGTCCCGTCTTTTTTGCTTCAGATATGTGGTAAGCCTACTTATAAAGGTATATTTGAATGACATAGTACGACGTATCACGAGTCCACGGCGTCGCTGAATCTTCCATATAAGACGAAATAGAATTCAATCTATATTAATCTAATTAGTGGCAGATCAAGACACTCAAAGGTCTTCATTAATAGAAGAATTCCTATCTTAGTTAAAATTCCATAGTACATCGTCCATAAAATCAATCCTACCCAGTAACACAAATAGAGATATCGAATAAATAAACCATAAATTAGAGACGCATAAAGGATATAATGTTAACAAAAGTTAAAATATTTTTACTAAACCTCTGAGAATGTTATTTTCGTGTGTGGCCCTCCACCCACTTTCATAAAGAAAACTTCAATAATTTATATGTCCTTCTGCCAAACAAGTGATATCGTAGTTTTAACAGCAATTTGAAAAATAATTACTTATTTATCTACAGCTGTAAAGACAACGGATAATTATAATGAATTGGACGTACAATTGAGACGAAACGTTCGATCTGTTTGCTATTCACGAAGTCTTCAATTTTGTTGCCTATATTTACTCTAAATTATACGGAGCCCGCTGAAGTTTTTACATCACAATAACAGAGTAAAAGGAAGCCAGTCAATTGAATAAACCAGTCGATCAATTTGCAATTGTTACCAATCTAAATGCTAATCATATTTAAGCTATTCATGATAGAATTTAACGTCCAAACAGGGCTTAGAAATAGGTTTTTATAGTTAGTTAGGTAATTAGGTGAAGCCACCGCGCAAATTCTTGAGAATGATACGATTCGAACAATGCAAAAATTTCGAAGAAAGTAGGTCTATTACATTTTTTCTGACTGCTCCGTTATTCGTCACTCACACTTCAGATCACTCACACCTCAATGCTAAAGCGTTATATATGAGCTCAATAATCCAATCTAGTCGTCTAATTTTTAATAAAGCCCACAACCCTATACAATCCCATATTTATATGGATCGATCCGTCGTCTTAGATAAAATCAGAATGTATTCGAGCGTGAAAACAGTTGTCATGACAGCACATTTAAAACAAATACCGAAGTACATCAAAAATTTAACGATTAGCGTTGAAACTAAGCGGTGTAAAACGTGAAATTTATTTTTATGCTTGATTACTTTCCCCTGTTTTCAAATGTCTCCAAGCATGATTTATGCTTGCGACGCGAGATACTTAAAATACTGACGTCACCTTTCAAAATCCTGTCAAATGCAATTAGCCTACTGATAGCATATTTACCACAGACGCTTTAATGCAGCAAAAAAACTCACTATACATACATCCAAATGCGTCAACAGAAACGTTGAATGAAAAATAACAAGCACAAATCACATGAAAATTGCTTTGAGCGTGAAGATTTTTGCCCGTAATGCATAAAACTATTCTATCTAGGAAAAGGTGAAAGTGCCGTACCGGTACATTACTCACATTTACGTGATGGTATAATAAGTACATTCTCATATAGCCATAATGCAGTCGTACGATTGTTTAAAAGAAACTCGAGCAACATATCAATGCGGCAATTTGAAGTATGTTTCAGAAAACCTAAAAAAGAAAACTGTCAAACGTGACGACGACATAAAAATAATTGATTGGCATGCGTGACAGATGAGTGTATGCGTATAATTGTTGAGTAAATCATTATTGTACATTATTGTACTATTTCGGTTCAATGAAATGTGATAAACGCCTTATTTCCGTCTAAGATATTTTAGTTTGGACATCTGTCTCACAGTACTTAAAATCCGTTAAAACCTTTGATTACGATGTAACTCATTCATACTCACTCACGGGTTTGGTCTAAGCTCGGATGGTTTTGACTAAATAAATTCTTTTTTCATATTATATCGCTCGATTAAAGCTTAAAATGGCAGTTCACAATTCTATCATATAGCGGAATTGTAATCTGTCTATGGCTGAAATTTTGGAATTTGGAAGAAGGGATAAATTTTCAAGAATAAAAGAATACAAGAATTTTATGATTTCAGTTAACACTCTCGTCGAGTATTTACTATTACACTTGATATTTATTTATCAAAAGTGAGAAGTGGAACACGCGATTAATATTATATTATTGTGACGTGAATAATCATTAATCCTATGAATCCAAGAGAGCTTGACTCGGGGACGGACTAAAAGTAGGCACTTGCAAATTAGGCACTTTTTTAGGCACTTATTTAGGCACTTTGGAAAAAAAGTAAAAAGGGCGTAATACATTTTAAAAACATAATTAATTAGTTAAAAATGGTAAAATTAAAAATAAACGCAAATTGCAACGGGCAAACTCA